GAAATGAGTTCCATAAGGTTTTCTTGCCTGTAATCTTTATGGAAGCAGATCACCAGGCCATTCTTCCATGGCACCATGGAGTAGGTTCAAACTACCACCCTTTAGGTTAGCAGCCGGTAGCAAACTGCCTGCGCCACATGAGGTCGTCATGAGTCACAATCAACTCAACAGCAACAGGCTTGGTTAACGCAATTATACATGGTTACAAATCAGTTATGGAGGTAGTCTTGAATCAAGGACCTCTAGCTTCATTCCCACCCACTTCCCACTATCTCCTGCTGGGAATAAAAATGAAAAACAAGAATTGTTGTATATAAACTATTTATAAACAGATATTTTTTGTCTTCATAAGTTTGTGTGGTGAGTGCCAGCAGATTCCCAATGTAAGTCTTACACTACTATTGCTACATCCTAACAAATAAAGTACTAAACTCTATCTCCATCCTTTTCTCATACATATTTATGTTTCACATCCATGGCAGATGTTGACAATGCAGTCCTAAAAGGTCATGGAAAAAAGCTCTGAGAATGGTATTAGCCATGATTTGTGGGTTTGTCTATTCTGTATTAGTGGTAGCAGCATTCTGCCATACATTAGCCCTTGAGTTATCATCAACACCCTTAGAAGTGTTTACTTGGTTTATAAGCCTTGACTGCTTCAAAATACTTCAGTTTACAAGAACTAGCACAGCAAAGTTCAAACATACTAATGAATGGAGTAGAAGGGCCAATGATGAATCTCTTTATTGGACTAAGGTCAAATGCATGAATACTGTTGTGAAAGAAAGACTGCCTCTGAGCAGCCATGCTCTGATTCTCTCTGGCTTTTAAGCCAATTTACTGAAATTACTATGAAAATCTAAAGCATGTAAACACGGAAGGCAACAAGTAAAATAGCAACCACTGTGGAAAACAGTTTGACATTTCCTCAAAAAGTTAAAGAGTTCTCATATGAGGCAGCAATTCCACTTCTTGGTACATATACAAAAGAGGTGAAAACAGGTGTTCAAACAAAAACTTGTACACAAATGTACATAGCAGCACCATTCGCAATAACCAAAGGTGGAAATAACCTATTGTCAACGAATGAATGGATGATTAAAATATACTTATCACCTGAATTTAGAGACCATCTCAAGAATAGATTTGATGCATTGAACACTAATGACCAAAGACCAGACGCGTTGTGGGGTGACATCAAGGACATCATACATGAAGAAAGCAAAAGGACATTAAAAACACAGGAAAAAAAGAAAAGACCAAAATGGATATCACAAGAGACTTTGAAGCTTGCTCTTGAATGCAGAGTAGCTAAAGCTAATGGAGGAAATGATGAAGTAAAAGAGCTGAACAGAAGATCTCAAACAGCAGCTCGAGAAGACAAAGTAAAGTATTATACTGTAATGTGCAAAGGCCTGGAGTTGGAAAATCAAAAGGGAAGAACATGCTTGG